TACATAATCACTATTAACAATTGGTTCATGTGTTAGCGTGCGTTCATCGAGATTTGAAGCACGCGGGAAGTTTGGAGAGCCCGAAAGATGCTTAAGGGTTGCTTGAGGCGCACCCGAGAGCAACTCTAGCTTCTTGAGTGCTCTCCAAACTTCCCAAGTGCTTCATATCTCGATGAACGCACAGCTGACGTATAAACCAATTGTTTTATAACATCTTCAACACTGTAGTTTATGTATAAAGGGCAGAAATTCCCTCTTCTATGCTTCAATGCGTTGTTTATTTTGTTTTGGAAAAGTATTTCGCCATGCTTCAATGATCTTGTCTCAGATTGGTCAAAAGCTGACAGGTGAATTCATGCGTGGAAATGAAGTTACAGTTCCAAAACGAAATGAAACCATTGATCGTTTTGTTTTCCCTTTCTCTGGGTTCTTTCTCGGGATTTAAAGAATCCATTCCCAAAGAAAAAGTAGAAAGATCTTCATCGGCTTGTTTGCTTGTTGCGATGTCTAGATTAACTTTTTTGTGGAAGTTTTTCTGGTTTTTTTTTTTTTGATGAAAAATGCTGAAGTCACTCATGAGAAAAATTTTTTTCGCAAGGCATTTGTTTGCTGATGTCACCACCATGCACAAAGGAAAATTGAAGCGCGCTCACGCTATTGAATTTGATTGCACGAATTTCCAAGCTATGTTATAATGTAAATTAGTCACTGCATGTCATAAAATAATTAACCTTTTACACACTAATATTGGCATGCATATATATTCTCCACACTGTCATCTTGACATTTTCTCTAGTGATGACAAGGAGAATTTGTCTGACAATCAGGTTATTAATAAAACTGGTGATCATTCCTTTATATTCAAGATTATGATCTTTATATTGGAGTCAAGGTTGATACCGTAGGGGGAAATAAGAAGCCAGTCACTTGGAGGGTTACCAGTAAATATCACAACTCGGGGATTGATACTAATGGTAGCCAACTAACCACAGACAAGTTGAAATTCAGTTTTGGCTTGTAGTTTCCAATTTCCTGGCCAATAGCCAGTTTGGCTAGTAATCAAACTGAAATTGTTGTAAAATCTAAGTTGTCACTTGCCACTTGGCTAGTAAGTTGAAAAGTTAGTTTCGAGCCCTGCAACTGTCATATTAAATTTGAAATAATTTTTTAAATCAATTAACGATCAAAAAACTCCAGTTTACGATACCTGACTGGCACATTGGCAATGACATCAAAAAGACCACAAATAAGATCCTCAATAACACCACAGTCTACAAAAAGAGCCAATAAAAGGTCCTGAACATCAAGTGAATACAGTACAACTACGTGCATGCAGTTACTCACAGATACAGGTTTCAGTTTTGATGCAGGCTGGCAAGTACAGTAGCTGCACAACAAACAATCATTGCATGTTGCATACTGACAATAATAATAGATGGTGCCAGCTCATCCTATCTTAATTGTAATTAACAATTTGCCAAAGGCAGGTATATTTACAATAGGACAAGGTCGTCCCCTACTGGGTAAATTACCTATCCCTATCCCCTACCCCAATTTCAGTAAACACGCCAGACCACACAACACTGGGAGCTACGTTCCCTACTCTTTGCGATAAGTGGCCCTGGCTGCACCAATACTCATGGTCTTAAAATAACTGAGGAGAATTTGCTACCTTTCTATAATATCAAGAAATGGATGGATATTCTAGTCTTTTTGAATAAGGATGAATAAACCGTAGGCCCCATCTCCTGCAGGGTTAAGGGTAGGAGACATTAATTTCCTGCGCACAAGATTACTGTGTGGTGGATGTCCTCCCCTGGGGTGAGATGGGTGGGTGTTCACAGGGCCCTATTTAAACTAGCTATCACTAAACTGGGCTACCCTGTATAAATATTCGTAAATACATACACACATACATACCTACATACCTATATAAGTGTGTGGGTTCTTTAATGTCCCCTGCTAACCAGTAAAGAGAAGATGCAGGAGATAGAACCTTTTCATCCTTATATCCAAAAAGACTAGAATGTCTATCCATTTCTTGATATAATAGAAAGGTAGCACATTCTCCTCAGTTATTTTAAGACCCTGAGTGTTGGTCTGGTCTGGGGCTTGAACCCTTAAACTCCTGCACTGCAGTCTGGCCCTCTACCACTTGAGCTAACCAGGTAGCAGTTGGAAGTTTAAGGCCAACAAAATAAAAATTTCTTCTAATATCCTAAAAGAATGGAAATTCAAATGAACAAAGAGTATCCAAGAGAACAATTTTTCATGATCTCGGATGGTGAAATATTTCGTCACTGTATTTTGGGCAAACTCTTTACTCCCTAACACCAGTATGCATATTCTCCATACTGTTCTCTATACATTTCCTAAGATGCTGACATTGTTGATAATTTTCTTCATTCTTATGACCTTGAGTTAATGTGTGATTCAGGGGTGATTCAGGTTATGTCGGGAGAAATTAGATTCCAGTCCCCTTAGGGTTTGAGGGTTAACTTGCCCTTCATATTTTGATTATAATAGGTACCTTCCACTGCAAAGCAGTTTTTCAAAGGCTTGATAATGCTATCCAATGAATAAATGTTATCCCACTGATAAATCACTATCCAGTGCATAAGCTATCACAAAACATATTAACCAATCCAAGAGACAGAGAACTGTACAAAGGATAGCATTTATTTATCCACCCTTACAAACAACAGCAACACTCATCTGCCTGATCTACTAGATTCATCATCTTTACCACTTAAAATACTAACATGTATGTTGCACATCACTCATCACCTGTACAGTGCAATACTTGTCCAGTGAAGCCAGACACATCCTCATCACTTTGAGATTTCACTACAGAGCCCCCTAAATGCCTGATAACATCTTCATTGGGTAACATCTCTATAAAATATTTTGAAAAACTACGAACAAGAAGGATGGCATTGTAGGTTTGCCATGTGAAATCACTGCTGTTGGGGTAAAAGCAAAAACATTGATGCAACATCAGTCAGACAGAAAAATAATTGATTGAATTACAAACACTATATTTAGATTTTAAAGGGCTGACATTGTATTTATCACAAGGAATAAAAATCTCAAACTGAGGCCTTGCCCAATCAACATAATGTGGGTTTCAACTCAAAGCCTTAACTTTATCCCCCTGAAGTGCAAATGAGCATATAACCTCTCCCCAAAATAGATCTACATTATCCACCAAAAAGGTATTGAGAATACTCAAACTTATCAGGTAGAAGTTTTCATCTTGATCTTACATCAAATTCTCAAAAGTAACTTACAAGGAAATGTGTAGCAGCTAGAGGGGACAATTACTAAATCAGATCTTGGGAGTGGTAATTTAATTCTTAGCTGGACTCTGGTATAGAATTCTTCCTGAGCTGACCCTGAATTTCCATTGCCTCCACATTTGAAACACAGAGGAAGTTAAGCAGAACATGAGAAGAAATTTCTCTAGCTGATATATAAATCAAACTATACTGCAATCACCTATTCGCTCTGAGGAAGGGCTAACACTCGGAACGTCAGCTTTTGTAATCGTTACGGTGGCCAATATACTGCAATCATTATGGCTTCAAACCACAACTGAACTCTCTAACTAGATATTAGCACACAAGCTTAAATAGACAAGCACAAATGCTTGAGAGCAAATACGACGATCATACTATGTTAACACTAAAAAAAAAAACCAAACACTCAGACACATTAGACAATGAAGTTATCATGCCCAAGATCCCTGCTCAACTTGGCAATCACTTCCTAAATTGAACATCTAACAGTCTAGTAACCTCTTTATGTTGACTGAATGAAAATAACTTTTAACAGAATTAAGTAAGACCAATAAATTTACCAAGCTATAGTTACTTACTCTTCATATTTTGTACTGTCTTTCAAATCTGGAATTCTTTTCAAAAATACTTTTACAAGGGTGACAAAATTTCTTGTTGTTAAATTGTTTCCAACTGAAAAGATAAAGATTACAATCAAGTATAATGCATGAAATTAGCATGGGATAGCTCTAAGAAGACTTTACTACATTAAAATAATCTAATATCAAATGATCTTGACTAAGATCGACATTAAAAAATTTCAATATGTACCTAGCCTTTGACAAATTGGCTCTGTAGCTTCCTCCAACAATCTGGCATCAGCACTGAAAGAATTGGAAAATATGGTGCCTTTAATTCTACATGTAAATGTAAAAGTACAGTATTGAAATCTCTGATAAAAAAAAAGAAATGTAAACCAAAATGATCCTAAAATAGATATAGCAGATAAAGTGATAATTTCCTTTGTCAAATTTATTGTAAGAAAATTAAAAGGTCAACATTCTGGGTGCCCTATTCTTACTCTCAGTGATTTACATGTAAACCAAGAGTCTACATTTCTTAAACAGCCATAAATATTCCATTATTCTACCGTTTGGGCTTCACATTTCTATCACTGGTACATCCCTTACTTAGTGAGCATGTTGACATTTTAAAACTCAACACTTATCAATGGTTCATTTGGAAATTCTCCACATAAATCCATTTCCAGTATATTAATTAACATATAGTAAACACCACAACCTACACTATTAAGTTATTGCTACACATGGAAAGTTGTTAAGCACAAAATAAGGATAAGGGTTATGCAAAGTGATAGCTGAGAGCGACTCTAGCTTCTTATGTGCCAAGCAAACCTCCCTTAAGTGCAGCTATGACTCAATAGTGTATGCTGTGATGTTAACCATTTGTTTTATAACATAACATTGATACACTGTAGCAAAAGAGTTCTCTTTTATTTAACACTGAAATCTTACATGACCAGAAAAAACCAAGCATGCAAAAACTAGTGTTTGCATTTGCTCACATCACCAGCATAGACCCATGGGCAAATAGTGGACATAGAATTACCAATCAGAGTATGCGCTTTACTTTGGTTATTGTAATGCACTTGGTGTACAGGATACACTCCCAGCAGGTTAAATTCAGCGATCATTGGTGAGGTTTCCAAAAGTGTATGGAAATCCTTATCCTTCATGTGATTAGTAAGAAATATATATAAAGTAGAAGGAAGAGGAGGAAGTTTGTGGCATTTGGTACTGCCTCTTCAATTCATTGGTCTGTGAGACATAATTTACACTCCAACACATCCCTAGTGCATGTTCTCAAATTTTGAAAGCCTTGCTGTATCTTTGAATAAATATACAGGTAATTATAAACAGTTACAAGTTCTACAAGTGTTGTAATGTTTTGAAAAACAAAAGCAGTTGACTGGGCATGTCACAATGATGCACTGGTCTCAGACTTATATTTCTTTGAAAAGAAACTGAAGTGTTGCATCTGGAACCAAGTAGAATAATTACTGCTAAATGTATTGTATATATGATCAACACCTGGAATTAACTTGAGAAAGGTAGATATGATATAAAGCTGCTTAGTAATAACTTTTGAAAAGTAGCTGTTTTAATTATTAGCCCTTTGTTGTAGCAAACAATGGATTTGCACAATTCAGCCTTTCAACTATTAGGTGCCATACAAATCTCAGTCCAGTTTGTCTCGAAATTTGCCAACAATCTGTTAATAGTGGATCGATCGCAAGTCTTCTTGTAAACGAGTTACTTTATTTCTCGCTAAAGCGGCTTGGCCATCATATTTATTTTAATCAGTACGGGCAAACTAAATTAGCACAAGTGATCGACCATATGTATCAATGAAGAGCACTTTCAAAGCTTGGAAAACGAAATTTAAGGAGGCCCCTCACCATTCGAGAACCATCTAGTGACCGCCAATGAAATCACCAGACTGTAGTACATAAGTGAATAACATGCTAACTTTTTTATCAAAACAAATAGTTCTGAACGAAATTTAAACAACTATACGCCTAACTCTCTGAACGAAAGCTTTCCGAAATCAGTGCAAAAGCCCCAGATTGCTTTCATAAAAAGAAATTGTAAACTTAATAACTCAGCCAATGTTTACAAGCAAACTATCGTTAAGGCCTACATTTGAGATGTGGTTTGGCTTTGAAAGAAATACTTTTCCTCCGCGCAGAAAACATCAGATGAAGAAGCTCGCACTTCAGTCCTACCTGACCGTTTCAAAATAATTTCGCAGATTTAAAGAAAAATCAATGCGCAAATATAAGACTAAATTAATTTCGCTTTAGCTAACCTGTTGTATGGAGCTTGAAACGAGAACGCCAAGATATCTTCCCAAAACTCTTCTTCTTCCCCAATTGCTGTTTCTCCAGTAAACGTTTGGAGGACTGGGTTGTGTTGCAAATCACTTATAGATGAGGGTTTAGCCCCCATTTTGAGTAAAAACTCGAGCTATAGAATAGAATGCTGCATTTTACTCAGTTGTTGAGTTTCTTGAGAGTGCCACGAATTCTTCAACAGAAGTCCGCTGATAATTACCCTAAACTTGAGCCTGCACTTATGAGAGTACGTGCAAATGTTTATCATGTGGTTGTTGCCTAAAATTCCCTGAAGTTGCCTTCTTTTCACACCCTTCTGAATGGACATAATCCGTAAACGCTATGGGAAACAAGCAAACTTCCCAACCAGAGCCAGTCAAGTTATCACCACACAACGAAAGCCTTTCGAAGCTATTTGAGGTATCTCAAGTGTGTCTGTCTCGGGTCTGAATTCGTGAATTTTAATATTTAAGCGACTTCCTTCAGCCATAGCCATTCATTTCTTATAGTCACAAAATGCTGCATATGGGTGTTTGTTTCTCAAACCAAGAGCGAATGTTTTTTCATCGGTCATAATTATGCGTACATACAGTTCTTGGATAAGGAAATAAAGGTCAAAAATGATAAATTACCTTTTTGGGACAAGGTGCCCGGTCTTGTTTTAGAATAGTATAGGGCTAAATGGAACTATTTCCTAAATTTAAAATTTTATTGAAATTCCAATTAAAGAAGAAATTTCTGGGTAGGGTATTTGGTATTCCCACACTGAAGGTCACGATGTGGATCTAGATCTGCAGTTATCTAAAATAAGCAGGTAGATATTAGTGGAAGTTGATTGTTATACTTACTAATTTGGTAATATCAACTAGGTTGAAATTGTAAATTTGCCACTGTAAAGAGTTAAAAAGCTGACGTTTCGAGCGTTAGCCCTCGGCTCTGACATCTTGAACTGTCAGCTTTTTAAATCTTTACGGTGACACTACGCGCTCTAACATCATTGTGTATTAGATCCATACTGTTCTCTGTTTAGTTTTTAAGAATTAGAATATATATGTCATTCAGTTTTCCCCTTTACGGAGCGACACGGGCTGATGAATAACGTTTTAACTTTTAAATTTTTTTTTAATTACCAAATTACGTTGTTACCCACACCAATGCAGCACCACAGTTTCTTTAGAAACTTAGCCCCTTTATGTTTGTTACTTAGCTACATACATACATACATACATACATACATACATAAATACATACATACATATACTTTTTGATAAGGCAGGTCGGTTTGCGGCAACCTAAAGGCTGGTGTGGACCTGCCAGTAACTCAATTAAAATCCATATTTACACACAATCTTAAATATAAAAACCTTAAATCTAATTAATGAAATTTCTAAAAATAAAAACTAAAAGTATAAGAGATCTGATTGTTTTGATGTTACCATACAGGGTTCTTTTTCTAATTGAATTTAGTCTGTTATCTGCGAGGCCTGTCTAAGTTTTTGTGTAAAAAGTTGATGGGAGGAAGCACCCTTGATGGCTGATTATATTTCTTTTTCATGTAACTTATTTTAGGAATTATAATCAGCTTACTTGTTTTTTATTCTGGCTGTACTTGAGTAGGAGCCTGGGTACAGGAATGGAATATGATTAAGGCTTGTTGGGAACCCCAGGGTCCTGGATCTTTGGTCCTCTCACACCTCCCCCTCCCCCTCCCCCATTCCCCTCACTTCCTTCATCTTGTACCTTTCTTTAAAATTTTTGTTAAAAAGTAAGTTAAATTGGTGTAAGAGATGAAATGATTTTGCTGTAATTAAAAAAACAGGAACTTGCTGAAGTTAAAGATGAAGTATCCTCCATAAGAAAAGAAGTATTTCAGGTAAAGCCAAGTTTTATTTCCTTGTAATGACAGATTTATTGTATCATGAAGTCAGATGTGCAAATCAAGTGAGTCCAGGTATTCTACAATAATTCAGTTTTCTGAGCTTTTGCCAATGTACGGCATCATCAGGGAATGTAAATGGAATCTTCAAAGTGAAGAGTAAATTGGGCAAGGTGCTAGCCTAAGGGTAGTTAATAGTGGTGCAGCAGAAAATAGGACAGGGCAATGGCAGGTATATAAATGTGATAGAAATAGTTAGAACAAAAGGTATACGCAGAAAATAAATATAGTCGGGGTAAATAGTATAGTTAGAATAAAAGGTCTTTAAGTTTGGCACACTCCTCCCGAGAGTTGATTTTGGGTGTAAGTTTTCTGATCTTTAATGCTTCGAGGAGGCAAAGGTTTACTGGGTCATTGTGGTTGTCGATAATGTCAAGTTTTATTTTTGCATTTCTGGTGATCCCTTGGCATGCAAGTAAGTGGATGATTTGTTGTTGTTTAAATGTTCTTTTACACGGCTGTGTGTTTGTCAAAGCTGCCAACGTATAATTTCTGTGATCTGTTGCATGTGATCTTGTAGATGGTGTTTCTGTGTTAGTAAAACTTTGTATGTGGGACAGAGAAGTTGGTGCATTTACATTCCGGTTCATCACTCTTGGTGGATAGGAGGTTTCTTAGAGTGTAGGCTTTTTGTATTATGACTTTGCAGTTTGTTTTTTATTTTGTTTAAAGTGTCAGTAATACCACATTAGAAACACAGTGTGTGTACGGGTTTTTTTGAGGAGACCATTAAAAGTTTTGATTTTTCTAAATTATTTTTGATTTACATTTTATGTCTGTTTCATTTCAGAACTACTTCAGATCTGAAGTAAATGAATTTGATGAGCCACTTTTTTTGCATGTAGCATTAAGTGGAGGATGTAACAGGAGTGCAGTGCAACTAACAAGAGATGAGTTTGTCAATGGATTTGGAGTGTTCTTAGATGAAGGTATTGATTCTGAAATACTCTTAGACTAATTTTTGTAGATAAATCCCTCTACAGCATTCTACGAGAGGACTGTGTGGGTTTGATAGCCACTACTCCTTCAGTCTAATCTTTTTAAGCTAAAGGTGTAACTTCAAAGGAAACTTCCTTCCCCCCCCCCCCCAAAAAAAATGCTGTCAGCCACCACTGAATTGGAAGTGATGCCAGCACAGAAGCTGCCATCTAGAATTCAAACAAACTTTCAAAACTTTACCTTACCTAATAGATGTTGATCAAATAAATGACATGTAGTAGGTTCATCAACTGAGGTACAGTAGACAGTATTGTTTCCCCTCTTAGCCCTCCATCTTGGAGTAAACACATTTTATAAATCACATGGTGAATGATGAGCTGTTAATTATTTTTCCTTTTGAGTAGGAATGGTACATTATTGTCATGCTTATTATTAACATTTGAAGCTTAGCAGCTTCTCTTAATGTAAAATGTTTAGGAGCAGAATTTCATGCCTTCTTGTATTTATGATGTGATTATTTCATTTCCATAGGAGCAACATCTGCTGGAAGGTTAGAATTATACTTTGCAATGTTTAGTGATGGACATGCAACAATGTCATTTACAGGTAAATTACCAGCCAGTGAGGTTTATTTTGTTTATTGAATATATTACAAAGTCTGGAGGTTGCCTCCAGCTACCCTGCAAAGGAGGTGTACAAGGGAAAGAATTAATTAACCAAGAAATTTGAAGAACATTTCCTCTATTCCACCCAGTTCATATTTACATTCACTCTTGCTGTGAGGGCTGATCTTGGCAAATGTTTTTTGGTCCATTCACTTCTTCTAATGTTTACGTTGTCAGTATTCTTCCAAATTTTTGACCCCTAAACATCATTTTTTTCTAACTGATCAAACAGATCTGGTAGAGATGTTCCACATCTCACGATCTCTAGCTGTTGTTGTTGCTGGTACTGCCCTGCAGGGTGCTAAGCCTGAATCACCGACAATAGCAGATGTGTGGGCAAGGTCTATTGTGAGTTGAAAGTTTTCTTCTTCATGCCAAGGAGTATTTATCAATAATTTTTTCTTCTGCTTAAGAAGTCTTCTGAAGCTGAAGTTATCACCTGTAAATTTATGCACAAGTGATGTTCTGCATAATGTGTACATTTTTCCTGATAGCACTGAAATAGTAGGAACAGCTTTGGCATTGCTGTCACTTAATTTATTAATGTCTAAATCAACAGGAATACTCTGATTTGTAATTTAGTCACTCCAAATTTGAACTAACTTAAGTATGGATCAAAAATTGTTTGGTTAGGCCAAAATTTCTTATACTTCCTCTAGTAATATCTGAGGGTGTATGCTGATGCGATTTGAATAGAGAGGTTTCATTTTTTAATTAAATAATTCACTGAAGGAACTGATTGTGGTGAATGTCAAACTTCAGATACATTCATAATAAATGTAGTTTAAGGTGGACATCACAGTCCACTTGACTTATTATTTGCAATTGGTCAAAGGCAAGCTATAGAATACAAAGTAAATTGTGTTATTTTTATTGTACTTTTTTCTTTTGATGTCTTTTCTTTGTTATAAATGAATAAAGGCTGATAGTTTCGAAAGAAACTGTTTGGGGCTGCGTTGGTGGGAGTAACAAAATAATTTGGATATATCAACAAAGTTGAATTGGTAAATTGGCCACCGTAACGATTACAAAAGCTGACGTTTCAAGCATTAGCCCTTCGTCAGAGCGAATAGAGGAATTGTGGGTTGTGTGTGCTTTTAAAGGCAGAGAATGGAGCTACATTCGTAACGTAGCTACATTACGTAGCTCCATTCTCTGCCTTTAAAAGCACACACAACCCACAATTCCTCTATTCGCTCTGACGAAGGGCTAAACGAG